ATGGAAAAGGAAACAGAATTTTTATGATCCAATACGTATAACAAGAATAAGCAGCCTTAAACATTTATTCACCGTTAGTTTGGATAACTTCTATCAATGAATGCATATATTCTGGATTGTGTATTAAATTCTGTTTTGACAGCATTCAAAAAATCAAATTAAACGAACACACAATTAATTAATGTATAAAACTGGTATCAGAGTTTTTTCTGGAAATTTAATTTGGAGCCACAAGATACAACCTCTATACTACTTACACGGTTATTTTGTGTTTATTTTTAACTTTGGGAAATCGTATTTTGCAGTGATAAGTTCCCTGCTGTCCATGTTGATATGGGTGATCCTGTTCTATACGCACTTCCAGTACAACGTTCTTCCGGCGGAGCTCCTGTATCCGCGACCGAAGTTCAGCACCTGCGGCAGCGCGGAACTGGGCTTCTCCTTCTGGCTGTGCCTGGTGGCCATGCTACTGTTTGCCTTTAATATCATTTTATTAACACTCAAAGACATTGAACTCAGACGACCTTCCGTTAAGCATGTTGTGCCTAGCAATGACAATATGTTTATGTATTAAACGCATCTGCACATTTAATGGACCGTGTGCGTCCGACTCCGTGCGCCACCGCTGTCAGCCGATATTAGAATGCAAATATGTAATCGAACAAGCCGGATTAAAATCTATTCTTGTATTTCCATTTTTTTATCAGCGCGTACAACATACACTGTATAAACGCCGTGGAGGCGCCGATATTTCTAGTATTGCTGGCATATCGAATACGTTAAAGTGCACTTTATAATGCAGTTAACTCCCAATTTCAAAGCAATATTTAATGCCCAAACAACTGGGGACTAGCCAATTTAATGCACAAATCAACAACGACAAATAAATTTGTTGTTCCACGAGAAGAAAAAATTGTTTTGAAGTTGTGTATTTGCAGTCTTCTTTAACTACAGATAGACCATATTATACTCGTTTAAGCTGTAAAACTTATAATTATATCACATGGTTTATTTGTATTCTGAATTATATGATAAGTAAGTAATGTAACAGCAGTCAAGAGTCTTAAGACTCACAACTGCATATCTCTGCTTAAAATAAGCTTTTCATGATGTGGTACGTTCACATCACGATCAGGAAGTTGAAAATTAAAATTCAGGAAATTTGGCTTTCTACATATAAAACCTTAAAACACTGGAGTATAATGTGAGTCACTCTTTGGTGTAACTTTTTATTTAAATTTTTAAGCAAAAGTGTCTGGTTGCAGCCATGAGAATCGTGAAACCAAGCTTTTAAGATGTCAGTTCCTGTATTACAAAATGTAGCCGTTCCTGAGGCGTACGATGGTATCGCGTAATGCTAACAAAGCAAGTTATTTCAGAAAATAAGGTAAGCAGTTAACTACTTATCGTAATTAAACAGTTAGTGGCAGCATGGCAAACCAAAATTCGTTTACTCGTACATACATGCGCCGCAGTGCGGCCGTAGTTTCTTCCCGTAATGCAAGCAGTGTAAATAACATATACTTAGTAATTAGTATTATGTACACTAGTACTCGCGTACATTGTCATTAAGTGTAATTCTCTCAGCGCAAACGCTTTTATTAATGAAAATTTTAGGAAAGATAAAAAGATTACAAACTGAGATTGCTTATTCTTCATGTGTCCAAATCTTCCTGAGGCTAACCGAACCTGGTTGCTGAGGGTCTTCATAACAGTTAGGAGCATTGAAGTGCGTTATAACAGCAATATGACGCACAGCCTAGCTTAACGGTGTATTTCCACCTTGCTTGCACGTCTCTGCACTAAAAAAATTTGAAGAGAAGAATTTTGGGACTTTATATTATAAAAAGGTCATGACTCCTTGCATGCAACGCAGACCTGAAATTGCTTAATTCCGTTACTTTTTTATATTTGAAATTATCAGTACAGTTTGGACGATGAATACGTCTACTACACAACGTAATGCAGTTTCTGAAGCTTACTGTTATTATTGCAACAGACCAAAGGACAAAGGAGCCTATAATAGAAAAAAAACTGGTGAAAATTAATATTTTCAAGTACGTATGAAGTGAATTTTAAAGTTTTGAAAAAACGTTGACGTAGCTACAGATCTACATAGATTGTTTTTACGGTACCTTATGCTTTGTCCGACTACATACCATAATGTGATATACAGGTACTCGTAGGCATCCGAATACGGTAAATTCACTTACTCGCAACAAAAATCAAACCCTGCAAGTGCGGTAAGAAACGTGGAATGAAATGTTCTTGACCGTCGCAGATTCAATACAATCCCAGTTGTACCCAAAGTGCAAAAATAATAATCCCCACCTCTGGCATAGCACGATATCGCTCTACCGCCACGCCGGGTGCAAATATATATACGTTAGGCTTTTTCCGGCCATCCGCAATTCAGAGTTACAAACATGCACTCTGCTTTCTCTGGGCAATCGTTTGTTTTACAGAACCGAGTTCTATATGGACATCTCGGTAATAATTATTATTACGTTCGAGGATTTTTTTAGCGGTATGCACCTACTGCGGTAAGTTAAAACAATGCCCGGTTCTATTCGAGAAAAAGCGCCCATGTCTTCTTCATCCAAAAGATGTCCTTTGGATGGTTGTTTTTGAGTTTCAAAAGCCATAATATAGTTTCGTAGACCATGTATTTTAGATGTGAAAATGTACATAAAAGGAGCTCCATAAGTATACTGAAACATGCCGTTCTAAAGACGGCGTTTTGTGCTCCGATGATGTCTAAAGCACGTCAAAAATTGCTTGCCGTAGAACCGGGATGGAATGATGACGCACTTACTTGTACGTAAGATTGGGACGATGATGATTATCAGAGTATACAGGTTTTTATAAAATTAAGTTTATAGTGTTTGATTTTGCCTAAAAAATAGCACTGGTTTCACAGGTTATGCCGCTGCTTTGTGTTCCGACTGGACCATTACAGCTTACAGTCTGACCGAGTTTTGACCATCTGCGCGCCACTGCGCTTCGCAACAACCTTCACGGTGCGCCGCGTCCGAATATTCTTGATCTGCATAATCCCATTTGCTCTGGCAGCCTTTATGTCGGAAATAGCCACATTCGCTACACAGGCAGACGCTCGCGCTCGCGACACTTGGGCTAAACAGTGGCACACGGTGGAATTCTTTGCCAGTCACGTAAGTGACCTTGACGCCACAGGATCGCTTAATCACTGACAAGCTTAGCTGTTATTACAGATGCTGGTTCCGCTGTTTACGATGATTGTCGTAATTGTTTCTAACGTAACCGCCGGAGGCGGTTGGTGCAGCGTCGTCTTATGCGAAAACTGCAAAAGAACAAGAATGTCCCTAAAATAATAATAATTCGAACGCCGCACTGCCGATGACTCCGCCAAAACCAGATAAAATATCAGGGCGCATGGTGGGGAAAAGCAGTCTGCCGCCGCCTTCCAGATGCTTGTAGCGGCCGTAATTGCCGACCTTTTGCCAAAGTACCGCTTCTCCTATGGAATATTAGTCAAGCCTTGGAGCAGGGATGCTTGTTTCACTTTACCGTAGAGCAGGCTGTCATTGGAGCGGTGGGATATAGAAACTGCCTCTTCGCCGGAATTTCCTAAAATTTTTCTGTATTGTGCAGTCAGCCGGGATTTTTAAAGCGGACTGTCAAGATGATTCGGTACTGCAAAATACCGGAGGCGGAACGTCCCCGCATTTACAAACAGGGAACACCCGCATTGTAAACACAAAATAGACATGAGTGTAACGATTTTGCCACCGTAGCACTGGAGCTAACTCATTACTTATTTTACTAACCAGTAAGTATGAATTGTTGTAGCATATACTCTGTATGTACCGTACTGTACCATCACCAGCTATACTACTCAACACACATTTACCAAAAGATGGCACACAATTTCCGTAATTTTGTTTCGCATTTCAGTGATGACTTTTCACTGAATTTAGGTAGTATGAGATACCATTTTTAGATAATAAAAATAAGCACGATTTTGCACTTACGACTCACGCACATAACCGGTATGTACTTTTACTTGTACAGTAGTTGCCCGGTTCGATTTCGTAAAAGGCATTCATGGATTAGATGTGCCGAGCACCGTCAAAATACGGAGCCAGGACGGATGCGTTTTAATTGTAACAATTTCGTTGTAATTTTACGTAGTCTACGTACTCCAGACGTACCAATTAACGTCAAACATTGCGCGATAACTCTACTTAAACATACTGTCGCCGTCACGTCTCTGGTCTGCACAACACACGTCAAAAAAAGTGCTACCTGGCGAACCGGGTTGAAAGATCAACGGCTGACCAGCCAGTTGCGCCGGTATTTCTTTGCAAGAATATCGAGACGAGGTACTCTGTTACGCCGTAACCATCTAAAGCTGATTCCATAATAATAAAAAATGTCTTTAGCATTTTATGTTTACTCTAATGACTGTGAAGTAACCTCGGATTTCCAATGATATTGGTCTTGTGTCTGACTGTATATTGTGGGAAAAGTCTATTTCCGCTAGGAAATTTGTGAAATAACACAAGTCCTAAGCTCAGCAGCAAAATCTCTAAGGTGCTGTATCTTAAGAGAGAGGGTCCTTTGCTTTAGCGTGCTTACTGAATAGACACCTTGGAGTGTACAGCGATAGCGTTATCATCTCATGCTGTTTATTTTGTGATTAAGATAATCCACATATCGCGGATCTTTCACACAGCAGGAGTACGGTAATGAATAGTAGGCACTGGAAGTATAGAAAATCTACGTTCAGAAGAATTACCAGAACTCTAGATCTACGAGATGCGTACGATTAAAGCAAAACACTACAAAGAAGTTTATGTAATGTGCTTTTCAGATTATCTGCGCGCACCTTGTTGTTAGTGCGAGTATCTAAATTTTCTAGCTAAAAGGTATATTGCCTATCGTTCCTGATTGTCTGCAGTTGTATCCCATAATATTGTTTCGCATTAATGCAACCAGGTATTAAAATGTAAGGATTTTCTGTTTCGAGAACCTGCAGAAATTGGTTTACCATGCTTGCGATGAGGAGCTGCTTGGGTTGATTACACAAAGTCTCCAGCGGAGATCCAGTGGATGTTCATCGGATTTAAATAGGGATGACAACTGGGTACTTTATGCGGCGCATGTTTCGCCACTTGTCAACAAACTGTTTGCCTTTTGACTATTTATGTATATGGTACTGTATTATTATAGATATCGTAATGAAATTAAGTACTATGTTTTCTTTGGAATCTAGAAGAATGATTCTGTGGAAGATATTAGCTACTTCTTCACGCCACTTTTGGCATCGCACATGTTCCTGGCTTCCGAGCTATCCGATGGTTTTCGTATTATGGAAGGTACCAACAACATTCATCTGCTTTTCTTCCGCGTATGTACGCTATATGGGTAAACAGATAAAAGTAAAATTATGCTGTAAATTTTAATCTTTCACCGCTTCTATGTAGAGTAGTTATCCAGGGCATAGATTCATTTGCGCGTGGACGTGGATGCCTAGTTGCTTTTCTGTGGCTTATTATATAATTATAGACGTGTATAAACTACTCTATTATGTACCCTGTTTTACCACTGCCGTTAGCGTTTGATGATAGTTTTTGTTACTGACGTTTAAACAATACAGGTGATGGAATTAACATGCATCCTGGCCTCCACGCTTCCGTTCCATTATGTGACTTTCTTGGGATTAACTATTAAACGGCTGTTTCGGATGGGATTCGTATCATTCCATTCCAAGTACATATCAAATGTGGAAACATATTTTTGCTTATGCCTACGTAGTCATTACTTATTTCCAGCATTTTCCTGGACGATGGAGATCAGGATCCCGCTGACGAATACTGGCTAATTAAGAATGCGGTAAAAAATTTGGAAAGATTCGCTAAGGAAGAGCCGACTTGCATCTTTCAAGTAAGTTCTGTAGGCGGTACACTTTACACGTACGCGCAATAACACACATTACTAGTATAGTAGTTTACCACGCATTCTCTAGAAACATTATAGAGTTTTGTACAGTAATATTATATTATGCATACAGCTTGCAGAACACGTTTTCCTTCCGGAAAGCATAGTAGAAAGCTGTGAGTCGGCCTTAAAAAAGATCCTCAATCTGGACCCTTTCAAATACTCTATCGAGGAAATAAAATTGTACTGCATGGGAAAGGTTATAACTGCTCATTCTCATCACCGGTGAGAAAATATTGTTTAAGCGTCCCCGAGAAGGTTGCGATAGACCCTCGCACATGCAAGATTCCATGTTTATGGAGAAAATTTATTCAACCAATTATTACCCATTCGAAAAGCGCAAATACTTTGTAAACGAGATTTTAATTTTGTGTTTTAGCATTGATTCCGAGAACACCATTGATTTTCAAGATGCTACGTTATTATCCATGTTGTTGGATTTTTCTTCCTCATCAGTCTCTGAATATTCGTCCGCAGGAAACAATGTTCGAAAAGTATATGATAGGATACAAACTTTTTTACCGTATAAAACTAAATTTAAATGCTAAATTGGTGTTTTCATGATAGGTTAGCCATCTGGAGGATAAGGATTCCACAAGTCCCAGTTCTTCCTGCGCAAATTCATCCAGTGGATCTTTCGCGCCACTGCCCAGCTCGGATACGGTGAACTTTAAGAGCATACCATCCATATCCGTCATGCCGAACTGGTCATCTTTTACGCTGCTCTTCCGCCACAGTAACGGTGCTATTCGACCGCACCGGGTGCACGTGCTAAAAATTTCCCCATCCTTTCATCTCGCACTGATAGGCCAAGTTCGTGGAAAACCATATAACGAACATTATTATAAAAATTTATGTTGTATTGTAACTGCACACAGGTACGAATTCTTCCTTAATTAACTTTTAGGCTCAAAGCGGAAACTTGGTGTCGTATTTGTATGATGCCCTCCAGATTATGGTAACCCATGTGCACTCAACCAAGTACCAAGAATCTCAGTCCAGCAAAAAAGAAATGCTCAAACTTTGGAGATTATGGAGAAAAGTTATCCGTACCCGGAATATAAAAGGTCACTGAGAATATATTATGCACCATGCAAACCCATGATCAGCATTGCACCTGTGACCACCTTGACCTTATCTAAAATATATATATAGGCCTTATACTTTTGTAGTTGTCCCTCGGCGCCCAGAATGTGGTCTCAAATTTTCGCACGATTTTAAAGAACTCACAGTTTCCGATTTCCTCTACCTGGCTAGCTCAGTCTGCAACGTATACAGAACAGATAAAACGCATAATTATCTCCTGCATCAGCTCCAGTTGCCTGGATCCTCATGGGAACAATGAATGGCGGAATCTCATGCTGGGGATGAAGACCGCTCAACAAATTATTTCTGAACGTTTGAGAGATATGAATTCGTTCATCACAGCCAAGCTGGCGTCCAAAATCGCAATCTCCGACGTACTGCGAGATGCCGGTGATGTTAAACATTTTGTTTTTGTGGATCGCCAGGCAGAATTTTGTCTGTCACCATCACTAGCGGAAAGCAGCCGTAGTATGGTAAACGCACACAGTATCTTATTGCAGAGTTACTTAAGTTGTATGAATCTGCTCCTGTGCGTGGAACTGATTTCGTTTTTCCGTTGCAAACATGCTTAGAAAGCTTTTGAAACAGTGAGAAAGCGAACTACCAGAAACTGGATAATATTTTTAAAAAACAAATATTTTTTGAAGCACATGAAAACAAAAGCTTTTGAAAATAGTGGCAGATATTAGGGTAAAATAAATCTTTCGATGCTGCAGCATGCCAGTGTGTGATATTACATCAGTAGAAGTATTCTAATAAATTGATTGTTTTTGATCGTAAGAGCCGTAAAATGCCGTAATAATTAAAAAAGTGATAAGATACATGATCAAATTGTAAATAGTGAAAACTCAACCAGTACGGACATGCTTTTGGTAATAAAAGATTGGCAATAATAAAATTTTATACATTTTACTACTACAAGGCACAAGCAGGCGTTTTCCGCTCTCTGTACTGTACAGTGTACTTGTACAACGGGATATGCACTATGCAACGGTGATTTAGCCAGTCCTTGATCGCACGAGCATGAACAGTGGCACATATAAGCCATCGTTAAACACCCACACGAGGGTAGCATCAAGATACCGTATTCATATATCCCGATTGCAGAACGACGTATTTACGATTAGTTTTAATATTAGTTATGATTTGGATTGCAGCATTCACCCAATAAACAGTTTGCATGTTACAGATTTTGAATGACATCAATTTAATTTTGGATCTCATTCCAACGCGAACAAGATCGCTGCAACAACCAATCATAGTGGAAAATCATGGACGAGTGTGTGCGTACAGTCAATTTGACGCAATCAAAACAAGGTGCGCAGAACCATGTAATTAAGTACTTGCAAAACATAGCTGAAATTTACGGGACATATGGATGAGAAACGCACATATATGCCCACATTAGGTTATTAGTATTTATAAATTAACACATTAAATACCAATCTACTGTAACTGCATTCTTCAATTGTTTCAATTTGTTTGTGCAATTATTAAATCAGCCAACCAGCACCAGCAAGCACGAAAACCGCTCACCGCTACGAACTGTTCACGTGGCATGACCCCTCCACTTCCGGCAACCGCATACGCAACCTGCAGCAACGACTCATCGACCGGCTCACTCAACTGACCACAACAACATCCGCCCGACCGCGAAAACAGCAATCTTTGATAACACGCTTGTTATATTGATAATGACGTGTATCTTGAGCTGATTTTGACATTTATTTATTTAATTTGGCATGTATACTACGCGTTCCGAAATAATTGCTCTCAAGTCAAAATGTTCTGCAATTCTTAAAATTCAAATTAATTGAGGCAAGTATAAAAAAATTTTTGCAGCCTTTTTTCAGAATGTGTTTCGTATTCGGAGTAGAAGACGCAGTAATTATTACAACGGTTCGAACATAAAATTAATAAAGTGGATGTTACTGTACCGTTGTATAGGCATGAAAAAATGCCTACACACCAAAATCAACGATAGACATTTTATAATCTGACGTTGTATCAAAACCAAGCAGTTGGGCATCGGCTGCTATACAGTAACGTAACATAGAACAGTGGCGGAATATGTTTTGGATGTCTGAATACAATAATACTCAATGACCGACTGCAACAAGATTGTTTATAATTAGTAAATCTGTAGATTGTGACGTATCTTTTTATTTTCCGCATGTGAGATGAAAGTGATTTTTGAGAAACCCAGATTTCAAAAATATGACGGCAGATTGGTACAATTGTTAACCGCAATTGTGAGAAGGAATATAACCAAAAATCCTTGTTGTAGCATTTTCGACGCCATTGCCCATCCTAAAAGCGAAAGATTCTGCCTGACAGCTGAACTTCATCAACGAGTGGCTAAAATTCTAATTCCGCGACATTTTCCCACCATAATTTAATGGTGTGAAAATTCTCATCGTCCGTCTTACAACGCGGAGACGATCCAGCGTTGACGACATTAGAATGTGGAACAGTTGGTTCAAATCAAAATCGCGGCCACATAACTCATTTTAAGTAGCGGATATATTAATAACGGTTAAGATGTCTAATAGACGGAAATGTGTGCGCGTGAAGATACACACCACGCACTCTTCGACATTAACGTTATGAGTGACCACAATCACACAGCATCCTCCTCCGGGGCTTGTATAAATAACCCCGGTACAACACCGTGTGATGCGCTGCTGTGCTACAGGAAATCCTAATGGGGCTTATGCTAACATCGCGCGCACATGGTTTGTTTTAATGCACGTCTCCGGCAAAGGTGACAGAGATGCGCGGCATATTGTACATCCGCCAGCAGTATATGTACGGCTGTTTGCAGTAATATTAGATTATCGGCACAGTATGAAATCAAGTTGTCGGAACTAAGTAATTGTCTGCCGTCTAGCATGTTTTGGGCCTCACCAAACCGGTACTTGTTGTTTTTGTGGTTGACCGGACAATTACACCGGATGGCAACATGTAAAGGTTGCCGCTAAAAATCAAAATAATGCCATGATTGATTGACCATGTGCAACGACTTGATGTGTAAGATTTTATTTGACCATGCTCTCTTACTTTACCATGAATACATTTTTTTCTACCAGATTTGTTTCGTCTGTTTCCCGTGCAATTTTTTTTATTCCCCAATGAAAAACCTCGAAGAACATAGAATGTACTCTGTACATGGAAAAACCAAGCAGAAAATTTAATTTTGTATTATATTTTGTTGCATGGTGTTGTATTTTGTTTTCAAATAATTAGCGACCACAACTTAGCGAGAAAACTCTGTTAGTACTGCAGTGTGTACTGTACGGGTTGATTTCAAAGTGTAAGCGGCATAACTATGTAAAAAGTTATATAATAAAATTAAAAGCGTAATGGGACATGGTGCATGCATGTTTTGTACTTAGCTCCAGCGTCACTTGAATTCATCTGCCATAATTGGAATATTTATTACGAGTTTCAAAAGATACCACAGGCAAGGGCTGAATTATAGCACGTTATTGCACATTTATGATCACACTAATCATTTTACTAGAAACATCCAAATAATAAATAAACTGTAGATAATTTACCAAGACAGTCCGCAAGTTTTACACCGTGACAGATAGAAGTATATCTGTATATCAAAATTAATAATTAAAGCAATATGTATATCACTTGTAGAGCTGTACCGTACAGTTGATCGGTTAAAGCAATGCTCTGTTTCAAAGACACAGAACGAAGATTGGATTTATTTCGCACTTCATCGAGCGCCATAAACTTTAAATAGGCACGTTCCCAGATGACCACAATGAATGAGATTCTCCAGTTAATTTATGGTGAATGGAAGTGCTAAGCGCCATTCCGATTCTCATTAGCATAAATCATCGTATAAGTGGACCTGTGGACGTCAGAACCGTAGCACTGTCTCAAACTCTTTAAGATGTGTGGATAGAATTATAGAAGTGCACCTTTGGATCTTAAATTCTTAATATACCGGCAGTAGATAGGTGATGGCCCCTTCCCTTTTAATATGCAGAATTTACAGGCACGCACGGGCGTTCATATAAGTAAGTACTCGAAACTAGGTGTGTCCCCTTCATCTGCCGGACTGCGGTATCATGTACATCCGGCTGGACAGTGATCACGTGACCGGAGTGGATCGCAACGTCGACACCGGCATGCGCTGATGCGCAGTATGATTGTCATGCACAGGATGCACATTGCAAGCCGGATAATTAATTCCACAACCTGATCGCCAATGCAAATGAACTGCCGAATGATCCTGAGATTATGCGAGTAATGCTGCGGAAAATGTCACTCGGCAATGGATGGGATGTAATCTGATCGCATAACCGTTTACCCATCCATTTGCAAGTTGTTCGTTAATGTTTGTATAATTATATCTGGTTAAAGTTAAATTTACGAGCACCGATCGATCTTATTGGAATTAAGAATAACTGTCACAGATATAGGCCTTTATGTATACTAATATTACACATGCGTAGTATAACGCAAAAGGTAATGCCTAAACTAAATTTGAATTATTTAACGAAATTTTATTAAAGAGATAAGTTTAAAGTATAACATGTATCTGTATGTGTTGAACTTTATATACGTATATGGGCCGTGTTGTAGAAAACCGATAAAATGCTATGCTATATAGGAAACTTGCGTCGAATAGAAGCCTACCAAATATTTTAAATCGAACTCCGTATGCGAAATTTTGAAACCAGGAGTTTTTTTCCAGACTGGCAGCAGGAAATTCGAAAATAAGTCAAATACACAAACGGAAGTCGATGTTATTAATATGTTTGTCTTGACCGCATGTACGTAGGGATACGTGTAATTTCCAAAATATTTTATATAAACAAATTGTAGAAAATATATTTATATATGCAGTTTGTACTTATAAAACGGTGAATTGGAAGTTTGTACATATGCTGTTATTAAATTAATTTGCAATTGTAAACGTTCTTAATAATACGAGCCTTATTTTAGATCCCGGGGTAAGCAGCTGCTTATTTCCATATTATGGAAATTCTAAAACTGTGTGATTCACACTCCGCGAGCGTTTTGTAAAGTTGACCTTATGTTGCGGCTGCTTTTTTTATGCCTGACCATGAGTCAGTAATAAGCAGCCGGTTTGCACACATAATTAAATGTACTTATTTCCATTCCGTTGCAACTATGAACAACGTTATGTTAGCCATGGCATGAATGACCAGCCGTATATTCTCCATGCATCAGATCACTGATGATGATTGCACTGCATTTAGCGGAATCTTTTGATCTATGGCATGAAAAATATATGTGGATGTGAATCATTCATTTATTGTGGAATGAAGGGCGGGGCGGTCGGTATGCGCTGTAGAGTGTTACACAAGGCGCTTGCTGATTAAACTGACCGATATGAAAAGCCGAGACGAAGATGACGCTGATGTTCAGCCAGATTACTAGTATTATTTGCCCAACCGTCGATAAAACGCACTGTTCTCGACTGACCACACCAACCGGCAAGGAAATGCATCATTGTGGGAAAAAAGCTGTTAAATGCTTACTGATGCTGTTAAGACGTTTGGTAATAATTAGCAATAAAGATTAACGATAATATCATCCACAGAGTAATGGAGCAACAGGTGTTCTAATTAGCATCGACGCTTTCTTACATGTATTGAATTTCCCCTGATAATTTGTTTGATATAAAAATAAAATGTGGACAGTAATAGTCTAAAAACGGAACAAATTCTGAGATTACATTGCATTTAATTTATCGCGGTCTTCTGGAATTATTCGTTTATTTTACGTGGCATTCAGAACGTAAAAGTCTGATTGATAAAAAAATTTCGACAAGCAGATCCTCAAGAACAGGATCCTGAAATAAATTCTCTCATAAACTGCTTCATTCAGCGTGTGAACCAAATCGATGGCATCCTTGAGTTCTCTGACTGAAACGGCATATTTTTACTGTAAAATCCGGTTTCCATTTTACGCTCTAAACATTCCGCCTTCCTGTTGCGTAGCCGGCTAACCTGGCCCATTCATTCATTCACGCGAGTTTCATTTTATGAATGAATGCCCCGGCCAAACCGCATTTGAGTCGAGAAGAGAACGAGAGAGAGAAACATAGAGAGAGACGGAGTTGTAGCAGACTGCAGTACGAGTGCAACGCTTGGCAGCGCTGTGCATCTCAACGTGCTGGCACGCCTTCAATGGACGTACGTACAATCCAGCAGCACGCAGTGGCAGTGCTGCACCGCTCGGCTGCCTCAAGCAGCTCTTTCGACTGTATGAAGCGTTATTGTCGAGGGTACGCATTTTCCATAACTCAATGGGCAAAAACTCCAACCACATGAGAAATTATGGTTTTTGGCGAACTGTTTACCACACAACTTTTCCCATGAAATCACGTGCTAATATTTTGGCCCATCATTCGAATCCTCTCCGGTGTGGATTAGTCAACGTTGGTTAGATTGTAAGGGAATTTTATCTGTTGGATTGTCTATCGTTCAACGGCGTGTCCATGCCGTCCTTTCAAGATTTACTGGTGAGGATCCATAATCAGCGCACTGTCGATGAGGATGTACCGCGCAAAATGACATGTCGAACGCCGAGTTCCGCGTCTAGTCACTCCACGCACAGCCATTCATCCTCGTCGTCCACGTTCTCGTCCCTGTCGACGGGCAGTACATCGTCAGCGGCCTCCGATGACGGCTGGCAAAAAGACATCGAAATACGGGAAATTTATAAAAGCGGAAAGTTAAAGTTGATCCCATTGGAAAAACGGATCTTTACTCGACAGGTGAGTTGGTAGATCGCACAGAAAATGCTTTACCGTAGTTTGGACGAGTGGGTTCAGAGTTCTGACCAAAACTTGTGCTGTTATTGGCAAAATGA